ATTATGATAATTCTTTTCTTACCAAAAGCAGCCAAAAATAATTATAGAATCGGAAAGATCATTTATTTCCCCATGATACGGTATAATTTTTAAAAAAGAACGAAATTTTACATTTTATTTGATTTATTCAAAAATGAGCCAATATCGATGCGTTTTTATGAAAAGGGTTTTTCAATCGTTCTGTACGAATTTCTTACCATCAAAATGTATCGAAATTCTGTACTGAAAAAGTTCATATTTTGTTCTTTTCGTATCAATGATTTAAAATATAAAATTTTGAAAACTTGTTTTTTCTGCGAACTAAACATTGAATAATTTCGTTATTTATAAAAATAATCACACGAAGGTTAAGGTTATAACATATATATGTAAGATTAAAACGCCTCCCAGAGGGGCGCATCACACAGTTTAAGAATCGCTGTATTAATAGTGACGTAAATCAAACTTCTTAAACAATGTACTCATGTACTTTGAATAACATATATTTATGAAACATAGTTGATGCAGCCTATTTTATGTATATCAATATGAAAAATGGGAAAAGAATAAATGAAATACGTGCATGGTTGCAATATTATATGAGATATGTTTATTTACCCTGTCTTCTAACTATATAATCAAAGACAACCGTACTTAAAGAGAAAACTCCAGTTATGCATCGGAGCCAAAACACATGGTTTTTTTACTGGTTTGGATTAGAAAAAATTGGAATTCTTTTGAAATGATCTCATTTTTGACCGGAACAGGAGAACACATTTCTTGTTTAAAGCAAATTTTGACAGCAAAGGGTACATCATTTATTAGACTTCACAAGTGTAGATGAGTCATGAGTGTTATCCACCGTGTGAGATATGAATAAAGCAGGAAATTTCCATCACCACAATGCAGGGGACAGTTAAGGAAATTTTACCATTTACTCTCTTGAGAGAAGTGATGTTTATTATATATACGGTTTTGAAGAAAAATTTGTTTTTGAAAATTTGTGAAGGAAGGTAGATTGCCGAAAATCACATGGCCGACTTTTATGCAGAAATTGATAATGAAACTCTTACCAAAACCGTTACATTTTCTTAAGCTTTATATTGATTAGAAACTGTGAAAACATATCTCATGCAGCAGGACGCAATGGACGTAGTGTGTTATTCTCTGCATAAAGTCGAAAATAACTTTTTCGAATCCGGAATCTAAAAGATTGTCAAACACACACACATCTATTAGTCAATATTTTAAAGTTTCCTTCTAACTAGGGCTTAATAGTTCGCTAATAATATTTTTAGCTGCTGAATATAAAACGGGTGTAATATTTAACTACACATAATTTTGTGTGTGGGGGGTGCGATGGAAATTATGATCGAACACAGGGTTGCAAATATTGAAAAGCCCTGTATTAGAAGCAATTTGAGCATTTTTTGTGTGATATTTAGGAAAAAAGTATTCCCGTACAAAGGTTTGACGATTTTTTAAAATTTTTTTACTAGAAGAAACTTGGAGTTAAACCATATTCGTTTGTGACGTAATCTCAGTAACTCCTTAACGAAAAACTAGTAAAGGTGAAAAATTATAATTTCAAATTAAATTTAGAAATTGCATTACAACCTAACTAGTGTAAATATTTACAATGCAAAATTATTCCTTGAAGGAAAAATAAAGAGAACCAGTCTAAATTTTAAAAAATCATTCTAAAAGTCTAAATATATAATTATTCCATTTTTATACTTAAATTGAGAGAGAGATAGAGAGAATCAGGACTCTTAAGTTAATATTTAAATTATAAAATTTTTAAAAGTTGTTCTTATAAAGTAAATTATAAAGTAAAATATATCTATACAGTACATTTCAAAATGTTCGATTTTAACATTCTACTTTTGAGCACTAGGGTGAAAGATTTCTAAGCAAATTCCAATGTAAAGAATTCCTTGAAACAGGTATCATCTGTGGAACAAGATTCAATTCCCTATTTTTGTTTTTATCTTCCCCACTTTCTTATGGTTTAGATTCTCCTGGAAAAAAAGTAAAAAGAAATATTCTTTTGTGAAATTGAATCACGCCTTGAAGCGCGTGAAACTTCATCATTATTCAAATCGAAATCTGTCCTTCTAGCACGATTATTCAAATTTTAAAATAGGTTCTGGCCTAGGCAGAAATTTAAAATTTTGCAATCAGTTTAAGCACTTGAAAGTTTTCAAATTATCTACCTGTTTCTTTCCAATAATCAAATGGTTTTTAGGTGGAGAAACAATCGAATTGATTCTCCAGAAAAATAAATTGTTGCAAAAGTCCATTCAGCAAAATAGTACAGTTTTTTAATCTAAAATGCACAAGTAATGTAATATGTGAGCAGTTTTTCAATTCCTACAATTATAATTCACACTCTACCTAAATTTATTTATCTATACTATTAAAATTCGAAGGTAAACAAACGTATCTATCTATCTATCTATGCGATTATGCGACTAGGTGTATCTATCTTCTCACGAACCGCACGACGCAGAAACTCGCCGAAGGTACCAAAAGCTCGGAAACGATCTTAGGGGAATCCGGTTTGACCATTTATGTTCCATATTGCAATTACACTCATGTCCATAAATTAAGGATAATTTAGAATCACACAGAAATTGAAATCTAAAATAAAAATTTCACCTGTAGAATTATCACGCACATCTTGAAGAAGAATATGCAAATTACAGGAAACCAACAGATGGTGCTGATAGTACGTCACAATCACGAGAGTGTAAGAGAGGGGTATATAAGGAATGGTGGCAAAGAATTAAAATTGTTCACAAGCGCTTTATAAGCTTTTCAGTGCAATAACCGCATAGTTATGGCACATAGGAAGCATTTGGATGATTCTTTAAGTGGTAGAATTATTGGATGACTGGAATGTTAACGTACACAGCTGGAAGTATCCGAAGAACCTGGAATCGCTCAGAGTGTCATCTCCAGGCTTTGGCATCGATTCCAAGATGATGGTAATGTGAGCAGATGTTACAGCACAGGTCGCCCACGAGTTACAATGCCGGATGAGGGCCGGTATATATATTTAGCAGTTACTGCCAAAAGAAACAGACGAAGCACAGCATCAGACATGTCTCGTCAGCTCTCTTCAGCTACCGGTACGACAGTTTCAAGGCAGACTGTGTACAGACGCTTAGGGCACATTGGTCTATATGCTCGTAGGCCTGTCAGATGTGTTTCACTTACCGGAACTCACTGTCGCCTGCGTTTCACCTGGAGTAGAGAGCATGCATTGTGGACACCACAACTGTGGTCTTGTGTGATGTTTTCTCTCTCCGACGAGTACAGGTTTAGTTTGCAGTCTGATTCTCGCCGGACTTTAATATGGAGAGTGCCAGGTACCCGTTACCACCAAGAGAACACCATTGAACGACACCGTTATGGTGGTGCAGGATGGCTCGTTTGGGGAGGAATTATTCTTGGTTTCAGAACTGACCTGCATGTTCAGAGTGTAACGATGACAGGCCGCATCTATCGGGATGTTATTCTAAAACAACATGTATGTTTGCTTCGGGGCGCCATTGGTGCTGAATTTCTATTTATGGATGACAACGCCGTCCTCCTTGTGCAAACATTGTAGACGAATGCCTTCAATCGGAGGATATAACCCGTATGGATTGGCAAGCATACTCACTGGACTTGAATCCAATAGAGCATGTGTGGGATATGCTTGGCCGACGAATTGTAGCCCGTCAACCCCCTCCCACCTATCTACCGGAACTTCGGAGGGCATTGCTTGATGAGTGGTGTAATATTCCCCAAGATCATATTGATAATTTGATACTCAGCATGCCTAAGCTTTGTAAGGCTTGTATTGCATCGTCCGGGAGACATACTCCGTATTAACCATCACGCTAACCATGTTATACTGTTTTTTGTAAATAGGTTATTTTTCGAAATTTGCTCCAGGGAGTAAAAATTGCAAGTTTTATTAATTATGTCAAACATATAGCATCTTTTTTGCTCCTTAGCTTTTGTTTAATAAATAGACTTTACAAATAAATCAAATTTGTTTTGCTTCTTTCTCTTTCTTTGCCTGAACTTCATTATCCTTTATTTATGGACATGAGTGTAGTTAAAAAGATGTTAATTAAAAGCCTTAAAACGCATAATTATTTTACCCCTGTAGGCATTTATTAACGCCGAGCGGTGAAGTTCCAATTCTTCGATGTTTTTTTTTATACCCGCCATTTTTAAAACATGATGTAATTTTCTTTATGAGACCCAGACAAAAATATATTACAGAATCGGAAAGATCATTTACTTCCTTACGATACGGTATAATTTAATTTACAATATAATGATGTTTTCTTTTTTTTACGATTTTTTTAAAAAAGGGTCAAAATCGATGTGTTTTTATGAATATGATTTCTAAATCATTCCGTTTGCAGTATCTTTCGAGGTAATGAAATGACATTCTACATTAAAAAAGTTCATGCTTTTCTCTTTTAGAATTAGTCATTTAAAAAATAAAATGACAAACACTTTTTTCGATTTTTCAAAAAATACTCAACATTTTATTTAAATACTTAATAACTTCTTTATTTTTAAAAATAATCTGACGTAACTTTTTTTCCATGTGTAGAATAATATCCATAATCTGTACAAGGATGGAAAAAATTACTTAAAAATTACGGGTTTTTTTGAAAAAAAAATTGTGTTTTTCCTTTCTTTTCCCCTCATTGAAGTCATTTTGTGTGAAGGAAAGTTAAAATTTATATAAGTAGAGAAAGCACGTGCAACGCTATTTCTTTGCAGCTAGCATGTATTATATACCTCTTGTTCAAAATTTCAATCATTATTAAAAATTTTTATTCATCCATTCGAATTCAAAAATATGTTTAAAATTTCTAGTGGATGATACTTGATTTTATTGTAGTTTTTTTAAATATTAATTCATTATTTAAATGTAATTAATGAATAAACATCAAAACACAAAATAGTAGTCCAACACCGTATATAATAAGAAAATCGCTCGTTGTGTCCCTGTAGTACAATGGATGGTGCATTGGACTTCTAATCCAAATGTTGTGGGTTCGAATCCCGCTGGGTGGTCTAATATCCGAGAAAGTGATTTCTTTCTACTATACTATTTTATTGAAATAATTAAATTTAATTAATGAATAAATAGTAACAAACAAACAAGAATTTCATTTTTCAGTCAGTAGAATCAATTGTTCCTGAAATCTCATGATGAAAGAGTGACTGTCTGAATGAACGAGCCGCTTTTCTACTTTTTATATTTAGATAAGAAGTAGGATTCAAAAGTTCCCGCACTTAAAAAATATTACCAATCAAATTACTGAAACACATCCTTCTTCGAAATGGGACCCTTGAGCAAACACTCACTTTTGCCTTCGCTAGTAACAGTCATTGAAACATTTGTGGAATCCTATTTTAGCCATGTTGTAACGGGTCTATTTGCTTTCTTCCTACTCATCTAGGGGGATAATGGTTTCTTTTTTTTATATTGAAAACATTCCCATAAAGAAGACGCGAATTATTCAAATCATGGCGTGTACTTAAAGATTAACTTTCAGGTTCCATAGAAAGAGAGGTTAGATGCTAAGGTCTAGCAGTTAGCTGGTAACGTAAAGCTAGTCGAAAGCGCTTCGTAGATTATTTGAATAATATTAAATTGGCGATTTGGTCAATTAACTATTTAACTTGGATTAGTATCGTCTTGAATTAGATTAAATTAGAACATATCTTCAAATATTTAGAAGTTGCATTGCCAGGACGTGCTAAGAGTAAGTAATCCGATTTATAAGTTAAACTTCAACTTTCTCGTCTACCTCGCTATTGCTCCCATATTTATCTATTGGTTCATTTTTTAACTTGGATTGTTGGAATTGTTACGTCGGAGTCATTGAGAATTGTTAATAAATTGAGTTTTTTTTACTATGGTTAATATCCCTTCTGACCCTTGTACATGAATGTCCATTCATTGCAATGTCCTTTAATTCAGCCTGCAATGCACTGCATTCCATCTGCAGATTTAAATTGATGACCCTGCAAGCAAGATGCAAGTTCAGGAAGTTGGTTGAATTCACAGGGACCGAAGGAGAAGATTTGGCAAAATAGTTTTTTTTTCGTAAGAAAGTCAGTGATGAAGTGATATCAATGTGTGGGGACATTGCCATTCAAAAGCCCCAATGACTGCTTAGTTCACAATTTTGATCTCTTCTTTCGGATCGACTCACATAATCGACGCAGGATGTCTGCATAGAGTTTTTTGCTCACGATGCGCCCTTCAGGGAAAAATTCGAGAGAGAGAGAGAGAGAGAGATGCTCTTTGCCCTGGATATCAAAGAATATCTCAAGCATGGCCTTCCCTGTAAACCAACTTGGCGGAATTTCCGCTTGCGTGGAGATTGTGGTGGTTTCCACATTGCCAATGCTTTTTTTCGCATAAAAAACCCCATTTCTCGTTTCAAGTGACAGTTTTGCCAATTAGGAAAGGATCTTTGTCAACAGGCGAGATAAATTCTCCCGCCATTTCCACTCGAATTGTCTTTCGGTCTTCGTTTAACATGCGGGGAACGATGTTTTGACACACCCTATGTATGTTAAGATCCGTTCCGTTAAGTATCCGTTCACATGTGGCCTAGGATATTCCAACTGATTTTTGAAGCCTGTTCTTATGTACCGCCGAAAAAACTGCTTCCCCATCTTTTCAGTGGTGTAGGAATTATGCAGACTTCCAGAGCGTTTGTCATTTTCGACATTTTTTTTACCTTCTCAGAAAAGTCGGTGCCCCTCAAAAGCTCGCATTCGCGTTAGTGTATCACTGCCTTACACAATCGCCGGCAACTAAATGCATCCACGTACAAAATATGAGACCGTGGCAAGCCAATGACCACGTGTTTTGGAATAAACTTTTTTTAGAAAAAGGGAAGAATGCAGTAACACAGAAACGTTATCGTATTAGCTCTACTGCAAAAAGGAACAAACCGGAGAATCGCTCATCATATGGGTCGAATTGATGCGGCCATTAGAAAATGCTGGCAAGAATGGGTGAAAAATGGCAGATTTCAGCATCATGAGGTAGCGGTCGAACTAGGGCCACAGCAGATCGGGAGTACATATTGGTTGTCAGATCAGCTGCCACAGCACCTGATTCATCGTTATCAACCACCACACGTACGACTCTCACACGAGTGTCCACCATGGCCATTCACAGACGGACGATAGAGCCAAGTTTATGTTTGTAACGACCACTACGTCTCCTGTCACTCACCCCTGCACACTTTTAAGCCAGCTTACACAGTGGTGCTTGGCTCGATCAGGTTGGAATCATGATGACTGGGGACGTATAGTGCTCAGCGACGAATCTCGTTTCGAACTGTGTCCTGAGGATCGCTGAATACGTGTCTGGAGACGCCCAGGGCAGGGTGCTGACACCTTGTTTTCACTATTGCACGCCATACAGACCCTGAAGTAGGAGTTATGGTCTGGGTGCCGTTTTTTGGCAGCCGGATCGCTTTGGACGTTATTAGAGGTAACTTGCAGTACGGAGGTATGTCGATGACATTCTGAGAACTGTTTTGCTATCCTTTCTTTAGCTGTACCATGAACTTATTTTTCTGCAAAATAATGCCAGGCCACATACGGCACATGTTACTAGGACCGGTCTTACAGCTTGTCAAACACTTTCTTGGCCAGTCAGATCACTGGATCTCTCTCCAATGGAGCAGCTCTGGGATTTGATGGGAAACCAAATGCATCTATCAGGGAATGCTAATGACCTTGCCCGACAATTGGAGCAAATTTTGCAAAAAATACATACCGCTGGAGAGCATCACTCTATGCCCCGTCGTGTGGCATCTTGCATCCAAGCTAGAGTTGGGTCAACACAATTTCGATCTCGTTGACTTGTAAATATGTAACTCTGAAATAAATTATTCAATTTTTACGAAATTTTAATCATTTTTTAATCTGTACATTCTTTTTCGACACACCAATTTTTGTCTCTATCGCACAACTCATGATTGGTACATCAGTATTTTTTTCTTTTTTTTTTCTTATATTGTGTACTAGCCATTACCCACCCATTTCACTGGATATTTCACGATATTGTATAAATGTATACTGTTTACATATACATTAATTATTGATATCTAGTATTAAGAATTCGATTTCTTGAAAATTATATTTAAGCTGTTACACTTTCACCCCTTGATATAAAAAGAACATAAATTATAATATTTAATTTCTATTTATATCTAAAATAGAAGAAGAAAGATTTTTATCGCTCACTTAACCTAATAATCAAGGGGATGTCCACCAAAGCAACTTTCAGTGGATCTCTACTCCATAAAATAAACATGCGTGCTAAATTTCAAGTCTAAATCTAACAGAGCAAAAACGGAATTTTTATCATCAATACCTCGTTGACAGCATTCTTAGCGTATTCCAATTCAACAAAAGAAGCATGCAAACCAAATTTTATTATTATAGTCTTAGCAGTTCAAAAACGGGGATTTTGTCTATCAATACGCCCCAATAACTCTCCCCGCTCCCCCCTGGAGTTGATTTCCATAAAATCCATTCTTAGTGGAACTCTATTCAATTAAAGAAAAAAGTGATCAACAAATTTCAAGTAAATGAGTTAATTCAAAAACAGAAATTTTTCTAAATAACGCTTTAATCCCTCGCTCCCCACTTCTTTGGGGGTCCGTTTTCGCAAAACTCTTTGTAAAAGTTAATTTATTCCATGAACGGAACATACTTTCTAATTTTCAAGCAGGTGGTTCTAATACTTGAAAAGCGGAAATATTTATCTTTTACGACTCTTAATCCCCCTCAGTGACCCTTGGGGATCAATTTTCCCCCAAACTATTTTGTAGCGGATCTCTACACCATGAAAGGAATTCGCTTACCAAATTTTAAGACTGTACGTCTAATAGTTTAGAAATGGAAATAATTATGTATAACGCCCCTTAAGCCCCCGCAACGCCACTTAGGAAACGATTTTCACAAAACACATCTTATAGCGGATCTCTACTTAATAAATGGAATCCGATTACTCAATTTCAAGATTTTACGTCTAATAGTTTTAAAAAGGAGATAGTTGCCTGTAAAGCCTCTTAATTCTTCACAATGCCACTTGGGGGTCGATTTTTACAAAACCCATTTTGTAGCAGATCTCTTCTCTATAAAAGGAATCCGCTTATCAAATTTCAAGACTGCACGTCTAATAGTTTAAAAATGGAAATGATTATGTATAATGCCCCTTGGAGGTCGATTTTTGTAAAAATCATTATGTAGGGAATCTCTATTTAATGTAAAAAATCTGTGTACCAAGTTTCAAGACTGTGCATCTAATAGTTTAATAATGAAAATAATTACCTATAACGCCCCTTAAACCCCCGTAATGCCCCTTGAGGTTCGATCTTTACAAAATCCGTTCTTAGCTGACGTCTAGTCCATGAAGGGAACCTACCTACCAAATTTCAAATCTGTAGGTTTAATAGTTCCGGAGATATCGTGATTTCACAGGGAGTCAGTGAGTCGCTTTTCTCCTTTATAGATAACAGATTATAAGCCTCAACAAGTTTAACGTGCATCAGTTCCTTTACATTGAGTTCTTCAATGGGACTGGTACTCGAACCTACGATTCTACAACTGGGCATACAAGTGCTCGATGAAAATCACATCATTTTTGTTTTATGAAAGATAAAACTCTCCACAAAAATAAATTGAATATATTATTAAAAAATTATTTTAATTCATTAAAATCTTATTCCAGAAATGTAAGAAGTCTTGTATTCTAGCTGAAACTAGTTGTAAACACCCTTTTTTGCGAAGAACCATTTTAATTATCTCCGAAGTCCCTGCAATAAATCTCCTATTGTTTCGTGACCACCTCAACTAAATCTCAATCATCTCCAAGTTCTCTAGATGCGCACCTCTCATTGACTGAGTAGAATGCCCATACAATTACCATGAGTCAGAGATAGTCTTGTGAGTAAGTCATAGCGGGTGCATTGAGGCTTATTATTAAGTTAATGCATTGCGCAGTTATGGGTCTATAAATGCGTTTAATCTCGATC